TTGTGGGCGAAACCTCTTAATGACTGTTGAAACTCTGTTGAAACTCTAATGAACAATTAATGTGTAACCTGTCAAAAGTATGATGATTGGCAAAAACCCCAAATGCGAAACTCTGCCGAAACTCTAATAAACAATTAATGTGTAACCTGCTGAAATCTGTCGATTGATTTCTGGAGGAGTTTCTCCCACAACCTTACAGCCAACTTTAAAAACTCGCCACATACAAAAGTGGCTAACCAGTGATGCTATACATCCCATTGGCACTCCATGCCTGCCAAAACTAGGGAGTTTCAGCAGAATGACATATGCAAAACTGCAAAAACTATGGATGAATTTTGGTATAACTGCTAGTAAAATTTTAATATAGTTTCGCCATAGTTTAATCTAGAGTTTGGAAATCAACTATTTTAGTTGCATTATGAATAATTCAAATAAGAATTTGTATTACTATTACTATTACAAATGGAAATTCTAAGCATACAAATTTTTTTTTGGTACATCTATGAATATGTAATGATCAGACCTATAACTGAGCTGTATCTAACATTGCATTATGTATGAAATGGATAAAGTTCAATCATGACCTTCATTCTGATTTCGGTAAGAATGGACCATTGTTACCATGGTATAAAAATTATAGACTATTTATGTATTTAGAAGCAAGATCCTTCCAGCATCTCTACTTCACAACACATTCGCTAAAACCAAGTTACATGTTATTATAATTTTTTTGTGAAGTTATTTTTTTTTTTTTTTTGTTCAGTGAGGTCTGATTAGTTTATTTATGTTAATGATTTTCAATATACATGATTATATACATTTATATTAGAACAAAATAAAACTAACTCGATCTAACTTATGAACCTGTATTTTAAACTGTGACCTACCACCACATGTATAATATACATGGGGTGGTCCAGACCTAATGTCCCAGGAAAACCCCACAACTACCCTCCATACTCATCCCCTTTTCTATATAATTTTTTATTATACTAATACTTAATTTGTTGATATTATTTACACTTTGATTACTAGTATTATCAACATTATTTTTATTATTACTATTATTGATATTTTTACAATCATCAATACCACCACTAGTACCTGTGTTATTAATTATTTTTGTTTTATACTTCATATTTTTTTCTATTCCTATTTCCTTCCCCCACTTTATCACCTCATTGCATCTCTCTATCACAGCGGCTTTCTCATCATAATCAATTGCTTGATATAATTCTTGACGTTGTTCATCTGTCAATACAATGTCTCCTTCATTTGATGGCTATAACAAAATTTAATGATAGCATATTAGAAAAAAAAAGAAGAGAATAATTTTTTTTATTCCAAATCAAATAACATAATAAATCCATACACTTGTTTCTTGACCACCATACCACCAGCTACTAAACCAGCCACCGTCTGATGGTTGACTCACGGTTTGTTTTTCTTGTCTTTCTTTTTTAATTTTATCTACATTTTACATTTTTAAAAAAAATTTTACAATAAAGTTGTAAAATATGATTGTCTAATATAACAATTAAAGTTATATCCCAAGTAGAGTATTTGACACAAAACCTATTAATGCCCTTTCTTTTTTCAATTGAGATTTGGCAATTGATCGATAAAACCTTATGTCTTCATAACTAAGCTTTATTTCAAGTTGCTTCAATTTTTCAGCATCCTAAACAAAGTAAATATAAAATAATAAATTACACACTTTGAATAAATCAACCAATAAAATTCTTAAATATTAAAAGGCAGTTACCGCAGGCGTTAAATGATCAAGTCGTTTATCTTTATAAAGTTTAACATATGCACAACGGTCATCACGTCTTTCAGCAAAATATTCCCAAGTCAATTTTCGATTACGTTCACGAATCTCAGAAAGTATACAATTTCCTGCAAATTGAAGCCATGCTCTTGGATTTTGTTTTGGTGTCACTTCTTTTGGAGGTCTGAATTTTCGATACTATGATAAAATTATTTATTACTTTGATTAGAAAATTTATCATGTAGATAAATATAAAATAAATTATATTTTTTATATTATACCTTTTGTTGTCTAAGATAAAAATGAAATAAGTCAACCATTAATAAGGCGTCCCTGTATTGTTCATCATCCAAGACAAATCCAAGTTCATCAAATAATAACGTTACAATAGTTTTAGGAGTCTTAACATCAAAATGTTTGTTCAATATAACCTACGCATAATTTTATAGTTTTAAGGTTTAATTGAATAATTAATTATTAAAGGGCGTTTTAGTTTTTTGAGGGTGAGAAAAACTTACTCTTCCAGTTCCTGATACAGGTTTTAAAATATATTGGTGTTCTTGTGGAACTCTCTTGTCTGATGAAATCTTATAATATAAAGTTAATTACAAGTATTAGAAATTACATGATAATATAATATAAAAATTTCTTTTAAAAAGTAACAATACCAAATTTATGAATAATTCAATAGAATCCTTCTGAGAGTAACCAGATAAAGATCTTGAATCTGTGTTCCAATATGCAGCTAACGATCCTAATGTAATTAACTTTTAAAGGAATTTTTAATTAATAAAAAATATGTATGTATTATATATATAAATTATTCTCTCAAAACAATTACTTTATGAATTGGTTTAGTTTCATCTTCAATAAAAGTAGGTGTCCAATTTTCATCTGTTGAAAGAGCTGAAAATTCGGACAATGTAAGTCCTATTGAAAATGGATGCTGCAAAATTATTTAAGAATTAAGTATTTTTCTAATAAACAATTTTTAAGAAATTAGTATTAAAAATTCAATGCAAACAAACCTCAGGATCACTTAATTTATCTTCATATCTAATATGAATATTATTAATAGAAATTTGTAGATTGTCTACAATCTTGGTAACAAGTTGATTTACAAAAGATTGGTTTTTTTGATCATCCTCTTTTAAAAAAATTAATAATAAAAAAATTAATAATAAAACTTTAATAATCTAATAATATAATAATAATAATAAACCTTCAGATGTTCCAGATGGATTAGACTGAAGTAATTCAGCATTTGCTAATTTTTCTTGTTTGACTTGTTGAGCTTTTTTTTGTTCTTCTTCAGGATCATACTAATAAACCAATAAATTTTTTTTTAATTAAACAAATTTGAAACTTCAAAAACACACAATTTAAAGATTGCTACCTCTGTATCAGCTTTTGGATTAGCTAAAAGATAAACATTATTTATAAAAACTTTAACTGGCTTATTTTTTAAATTTGACCAAGGAATATTCAAGGTTAATTCCCCAAGATATCCTGAAGAAAAAAAATTATATAATTATATATAAGTTACATTAGTCTTATCTATGATGACTCTATAATCAAAAATAGTTTAATAAATGCCTTCTAAAATTTCAATAGGTAAATCAAATTTATCAAGTGCTTCTTTTTTGAGTTGTAGGTTTCTTAACACGACATCCCCTTTTATTAGCACAATTTATATATATGCATGTATGTATGTATGTATGAATACACTATTGTGAGAAATTGAACAAATTTTAGAGGAAAAAAGAGACTTAACAACATCAACAAAAAAAAACCTGTCCATATTGCAATGTTTAGTTGATTATCTTCGAGATTAGAAACATATGCACCAAGAACGCGATTCAAAACATTAGCAACTAACGATTCAAGCATTGTTTGAATGCAAAAAAAAAATTAATTAAATAAAGTAATAATATACAAAACAGAATTCAATTTATATTTAATAGATATTTATATATAAATTTTTTTGATATGACATCATAAAGAGAAGGAGATATATAATAATTAATAATAACAAGTTTTTTGGGGCGTTTGTAAAACATGATCATGAGATTATCAAAGGCTGACCAAACATTACATTATCCATCATCTGTCGTGTATGGGGACGTGCTGCAATTAGTATTAGGGATGGAAAAACGGTTCAGGACCAGTACCAGTTGGCACTGACCAATAAAGATCAAGAATCTTTATCATGTGAGTTAATTCCTTATCAACTAATTTAGTATTAGTGATGGATTTACCAGATTTACCTTTTCTAGTTTGCTTGTCTACTTGGTATTCTTGGGATGTTGACTATAATACTAATGCATGAAGTCGAAAATTTTCGACCTGGGGGGTCAGAAGTCGAATTAAAGTCGAAATGGTTGAAATTACAGGCTGAACATACAGAAATTAACCAAAAGCTTCAAAATCTCATAAATCGGTCAATATCAGCTGTTTTGAATAAAACAGCTACTATTCGAATTCTCTCAATGAGCTTAGTATTAGTCCAATGAGATGTAGTTCATTGACGATCCGTTTATAAATCAGGTGAGTACTATATAGTGATCGGCGGGGGAAAATTGACGAAAAAAAACACTAATCAGTAAGTAACCTATACTTTTGTCTTGTAAGATAAAATTTTTTTGTGTATACAAATAAAATAAATCTCAGAGAACACATTATCTATCTTTTATTGCCTTTAATTATTTAAAAAAAATTTTTTTCTCTTTATGATGTGTTGATTTTTGAAGTCTTGTTGAAAAAATTTGAAAAAATAAAAAAATGTTTTTGCCGAGTCTTGAATGATGATAATAATAATAATTTATGCTAAAGGGCATGCTAAAGTATGATAATAATTTCCATGAATATGCATTTATGTTTTACTTTCGAAGTTATTGTTCATTTTAGAATTAATTTTAAGTACAAATTCATTAAACAATTCTCTATCTAGGTCTTCCTTTATTCCAGGAACTCTTTGCGGTATAGTCTCTTGTTCTAATTTAAGATTCCTTAAAATTAATCTGGACCTTCCTTCAAGAAAAAAAATTTCAAGTCCTCTCTTTTAAATAGAAATGATGAATGTTAGAATCATTGGACCGATTTTTGTCACGTGTAACTTATTGCAAATCATTTATATATAAGGGTAGGTGGAATCACGTGTTAATTTAATAGTAAATCCGGGCTCAATTTTTTCAAAAATTCGAGTTTTCCTACTTCAATGGGAAAAATGATCTTAAACCTGACAAAAAAGAAATAAAATTGAAACACATACTCAAGGGGTTGGTCCCAAGAAGCCTGAGTAAAGCCATTGAAGGATTGAACATAAACAGTCATAACAG